CTACCTGAGACAATATGGAAATGACATTTGCTAAGGCAAAATGCTGTGGCCTGGCCAAACTTTGCCGTAGTCTACGTTAAATTTGTGTGCGTTTGTGTCTAAAACGTGTTTAAAATGAAGTTTAAAAATGGTCACTATGCGTGAATAGCAAACAATTTTTTCACATTTATAATTTATAAATTACATTTTGAAAATTTGGTTATAGTTGCTGAAAAAGTATTCTTTTTTCCGGTACCTTTTAAGCTCAAATGGCACATTTCTGGTTGAGCATCATCAGTGTGTGATAGGAAATGACGTATAAAAGTTTATTTACATTTCATTTGTCACCTTTGAAACATTTATTCCGGTTTCGTATTAATGGATCTTTTATATAACAAAGTTTTTTATGCGTTTTTGCATTTGTAGCTACGCAAACACAAAAATATTTGCATTCAGTCAGTGTAAGTGAACCCGGGTGATCAACGAACACCGAGGTGTTTGAGAGTTTTCAACTTGCTCCAAATGAGTCATCCTTATGCACTTGGAAATCATGCAAAAAGCAACACTAAATTATTTTCAAAATCTAAATATTTTTTTGAAATTCTTGCAGTTATTTCAGTAGTTTTTTACGTTACCTCACAAGTTACTGATATAACGTCTTAAATGCTCATTATGAGTAATCTCGAGCAATACATGTTCTTAATTCATGAACATGTGCTACATCTAAAAAGTTAAGGGTAATTTAGCTCACGTGTTCGGGACCTGACGTGGCTCAAATACATGGATTTAGAAACTATGATTCAACCTTTGCGAGAAGCAAAAGGTATACTACTGAGCGGTTTATTTTTAGTAGTTGGGTGTGGATCAAACATTTTCATTTGACCGCAAATCAGGAGCCTAATGCCAGGCAAACCAACAAAGAGTGATGCCTTTTTAGTAAGATCCTTTAAATTTACATTGGCTTAATATTGATTTTTTGACTTGTGGAGACGGAAGAGTACTTAATTCGCAAATTCAGGCGCTGAATGGTGCTAACTGGCCTGTATTTTCATGGCATTTGGCATCGTCTTCCGATTTGTAACTCGCCATTTCATGCACATAACGTAACAAATCATCCTACAGACCATTCGGGACATTGTATGATTGTGTCTTGCACTATCCTATTGCATTTTTTAATGAAATGGTGTTAGCAACGTTAGGGTATTCACGCCGTCCCCTCGGGTGGGGAGAAGGGGAATATTTGTAGCGGATTAACAGCGATCGCGCCTGAATGAACCCTGCTTACTGACCAGACGGTGAAAGTGACTCATCTCCTTTCCATTGGTTACTGTTATCAGACGCCTGTCATCCGTTCACTCATCCACACACTAAAACACACTTGGCTGGCGTGACGCTAATAAACGGTCATGCCTACTGTCGCCTCTCTTCTCTCCATTCTCGGGTTGCTACGGCCTGTTAAGTAGAGGGTTGTAAGGTAATACGAAATCTCTAGCTACTACAGTCCTTTGGGATTGCGAGAATTCAGCTCAAAAGGTAGTGACGTGTTCAGATGGAATCGTATTATTTGACACGACATGCATGTATAATTGTGGTCCTCATGGCTGAGAACTCGTTAACTGGATATAAATGAGCAGTCTTACCGATTGCAAACGCGTCTGAAAGCAACTTCAATCATTAGGGGTCAAATAAAACATCCCATGAGCGGATTGTAGCTGTACAGCGACACGAAGGCGAAATGTGGCCATTAGCCCAATCTACTGTCATCTTCTTCGTAGAATTTACGCAAGTTCTAGATGCAATGACAACTAATCAAATCATGCTTAATTATGTACATAACAAACAAGCTGTACGGCAAACATTAGGATTCCTCTGCCTTATGGGAATGCAGAAATATGATTAGGTTTTTAGGTGTTTTATATTCAAAATCAAAAGTTAAGTTGCACAAAAAGACGCATAATTACAGGAAATTTCTTTGAGATTTTTAGCAATTAATGCATTTATGCCTAACTGCTGCAAGATAAAGACGACTGATGCTCTTCACGGCGTTCCCTACAATATGAAATTTGATTTTTTTAAGATCGAGATGCGGAAAAGCTAGCATGTCATCGATGCGTTGAAAAAACACTCGAATGTCACGTCTTTTTGTACAGATTAACTCTGATTTCCACACCGCGATTTGTCGGAAAATAGTAATTAAATGCAGCATTTGGAAAAACATTTTATGCTCTTTAGACTTCGCAGGCATAAAATTCTATTTTTCAAGGTTAATGCTTACTCTACACTCAGTTTTGAGGTGAAAAAGTGTTTTTTGCGGCCAGACACTTTGCAAGACTTCCAGACTAGAATTCTTTTTTCAAAGGCCAAAATTGTAAGCGGGGGTGACAATTCAACTACATGCAGGTTGTAACTTTGTGTTTGTGTAGTTAAACTGTTATTTGCGTATTTGCCTAACGTAATTTCATTATTAACGTCAACAGCGTATGTTGACACTTCACCGAGAAATACTTTAACAGATGATCGATATTCAATCGATTTTCATTAATCAAGCAACTACACCTGTGTTATTTCACATCCAGCCAAAATGATTGATATCCACAAATAAACCAAATACTTAAACGTCGCCTGCAGACTCGGTTTCAAGTGAGTGAGTCCAGAATCCCATGACACAGATTCAACATTCACTTTTGTATCTGGCTCATGTTATACGCTTGAAAACTGACTCGGATTTAGTTGTTTTAATGCAAGAGTTTTGACGTCTAAATTTAAGTACCATTTTAGTTTCAAAACCATCCCATGGTCATTATATTACATTTTTCGGGACAAAATGTCAGTTTCGAGCGTGGCCACTGTACCTTTCCCTCGTGCCAGAGATCGGTCATCAAATATTTAATGTACTTTATTTTCATTGGCCAGCATTTAGTTGCCCGTTTATTCGATTGGTTGACGTCTGACTGCTGTTTAACTACCCGTTGTAGGACAAGATTGTTACTATTTGGTTAAAAAGAGTTTGCACAGACGTGATGTTTTTGTCCCATTTTGACTTGACAGGCACCCACATATACTTCAAATGCCTAAACATAAGCTGAAGAATTGCATTGCATGATGTTTTGCCAACCCAGAGCATCTGGTACAGATTATTTCAAGCTATTCTTACGTTATTTTATTTGGTTTTAATACAAACTCGAGCATTTTATGCCAATTTAAGGTTGTTTTTCTTGAACTCAATGGGGCCCGGAGTTGACTATTAACATCCATGAATCTTTCCAGCTGCGGTGTATTTTTGGCCTAGCAATTGCTTCAGTGAATTTTGCAACACATATCTTCAAATGAGTTTTAAAATAGAAACCAGAAGCTCAAAATTTTATAAGGGTAAAATTGGGCTTGCAGGCAAGCCAGAATCATGATCAGCTTCAAAATGGCGTTTTTTGACCAGTTTTGTGTGGTCTACCGGGTACAACTCCAAAACATTTCCCACACTCTGCCTTCTAAAGTGAATTAATGCAAAACTCGGTTGGTAGACATACTTGACAGTCCGTGGTTCATGCTGCAAACCGTGAATGTTTCAACTACTAAGTCGGTTGCTTTATGAAGCAAAATGGCAAATTGCAGCGCTCAAAATTGAGGGTGTATGGGCAAGGATTACGCAGCATCTCCAAGGGTTGAAGTTCGTTAAAGCACGCGGAGGAAGGTGTTTGTGTTTTCAAAAGCAGAGGTTTCATGTTTATTTCGAAAGGTTTTCTGCTGTATCCAGGTCATTATCGGTATATTCGTCTACTCATTTTTGATCTCAACACCACCTTTTATTGCAAACAAGCAGTTTAAAGATTTGTTTTTAGTTTCAGCCTAAAAAATATCGTTGTGTATTTTTAAATACTTCGATTACAAAACCGCTAAAGTGAACAATAATCCAGTGATATTGCAATTTGCATTTCTCGTCCGCCAATTAAAATTATAGGCACCTTCCCTGGCGTCTAACAGCACATTCTGGAATTTTATTGCTAACCTGAAATAAGCCAAGAGGCACGGAAATATTTCGGTCAAGTAGTTGCAGAATATCCCACAGAAGTCAGCAAATACGATTTTAATCACTGATGATTAAAGTGGAGCTAAGTGAGGCGCGGTACTTGTGGATGGCGTCAGTCACACATGCGCCTATTTTCACATGCTAAACATAACCAGTTTTTGCGTTTGTACGCAAAACGCATGAATAAGTGATGGTTTGTGACAGATCCGTCAGTCAAAATAACCAATTGCTTATTTTTAAGGAGTGACAAATGAAAGCTACGCTATTTCTTTGCACTCGTTGGTCATGCGTACCTAGTAACGTACCGTTCAGATTCAGTAGGTACCTAGAAATTTAACGTTTCTTCAAATTCAAGCAAACTCATCAAATGTAATGTCTAAATTGTCAATGTTAACAAAAACGCATTTGCAATTCAAGCAGCCTGGAAGAACCAGTCTGTCCGTTCTTAGACCCACACCAATGCCTCTAGGTTGTGCGATCATGTTCGGCCCCAAAATCAACCAAAATATTACTGCAAACCATGACAGTGTTTGTAAAACGGCTAGATTTTTGGCTGTGGTACAAAGCAATACATAAAAATTTACACAATAATTGTGTGCAATTTAGTCTGGATTTCCGCAGCACAACACGTGTTACCTTGGTAAATGTCATGTGCATATTGTCTCAGGTTGGTACAACTTGCGACTGAATTTGACTTAGTCGGCAGATTGGGAAGCTAATAAAAAAGCCTAACTTGCAAATGATTTGTAAATTTCAAAGCTAGAAATGCAAATACATCGTTCCAATATGGGATCAACACATCACGACATTCCCTAACATGTCAAGTCGATACGCAAGACGCACGACGCGTGTTAATTTGAGTTCACCGTTCCGCCCTGGCAATTTGTGAGACAATTTGGATAATTAATGGAATCGGAGGGTCATCGTTGTGTAGTTATTTGTGAGGTCACCATCCGACGCCCAACAAACAGAGCCTGTGTAAGCTCACGGTGTCGAAATGAAATTGAAGAAGCTGCTGATTTGGGTCCTGTGTCCAGACATTAGGTCCTCCAACCTGTTGGGATTTGTTCACACTGGTCGGACACTGGAAAAGGCTGCGAATACCAGACGCGACACTAACACAGACGCAAAGACAGAGCTGCAGACATGTTTGCGCGTGTGTTACAACGCCAAGATGTGCACACAGGTGCATGTTGCCAAGACACGTCGAAGCAAGCGGTCGGTGGTGGTGGGGGTTGAGCCAGGACGAATGGGCATGTGGATTGTTGGAGAAGATGGAATTGCCAGGATGTCTGGATCTGGCTAGACGGCGATTGTGAACGTGAACTAACCATAGTCACCACAGAGGTACACCATGTGCCAATTAATCTGGCGTGCGCTGTTTTTAGTCGTCACAACCGCAGTGCTAGGAATGCACCACCACTACTAGTACTATTGCTACCAGCACACTTGCCTGACGTTCTCTAAGGCACCAGGTTGATTTTGAGTTCTTGTAGACGAGTCAAATTGGGCGTAGAGGAATATGCAAACACATGTGCAACTTACTTGACAGACCAGCTGCTGTGAGTCAATAGACAGTTGCGTTTGAAGTGATCCAGCACAAAGTGGATCGGTGGTCATAGCATGACAAGTGCACTGTTTGGAATTGGCGAGAATACTTACAAGGTACAAGCTCCCTAGATAGGGTGGCCGTCTAAGGTTGTGCTCTCGTGACGCGTTGAATAAGGTAGAGCATTTTTTCTAGGCCCCAGCATGTGGTCTTGAGCCCTAGCCCGATTATGCTTGCCTAATACTCGCGATGAAGAAAAAGACCAGAGTGGGCGTGGACACAACCGTTTGCTTCAGAACTAAACCACGTTGGTGTTGTGTCGTGTGTGGGGTTTGCGCGTGTGCATTTATACCTCGGATGTGTGAGTCATACATGCGCTAACATCGAGACCTAGGTGTGAGGATAATCCAAGATAAATATTCGGGCTAATGAAGGGGGAGTTGAGGATCCGCGCGGCTGGCGCCATGCTGCGAAAAGGGGAATACTGTGTCGGAGGTGGGGCGACCGGTTTAACGGGTGTGAATAAACACGATTCACAGTACATTCATGAATTAAATTTGGGATTGCTCATAAACGCACCTTTAGTTCCGACCTCAGTCAAAATTGCCTTTTCGCCAGTTATATCCTTTTCTGTTAAAATTCAAATGCTATTTAAATGCAACTTTTTTGCTATTTTTGTTTCACACCTTAAGTGAATAGTGTGTTCCCTTTGTGTGGTCTCCATTCGAACGTACAACTTAGTCTTGTCTGCAGGCTATTATATTTTATTTATCCCACAAATCTGATTTCAAATTTTGTGTGAGTTAAAACGAGGATAAATATGAGCAAGCATTTCGTAACTGTGCGATGTTGTCGTGGGGTCATTAATTAGTGGCTCATCTTATAGCAATAAATGTTTTTTTTTAATTAAGGCAAACATCGGACTATCAAACGTTCTAAATGTTTGAAAGATATTATGCTAACCTCGTGATTGCCTATAACAAAGCTATCGGCATTGTACCTGAAAATCCTTCTAGTTGTTTGAATTAATTAAAATACATTGTTTATACTTAAACCATCGCGTTAAATGTTTCGGCAGCACCTAAGGTAAAATTACCTTTTAACAAGGTAAATCCTATTTTAAAATTGTTGGGGATACATGATACTCCAAGATTGCCCATGGTTGGTTTTTGGCACAATTTACACAAATTCCTTAACATGTGTTTAATTACGCTTTTTATCAGGTCAAGGTCAAATTTGGCCTGAATTAGTTTCACTTTTGATAACTCACTTCGCACGTGGCTGACGTGATTAAAGCTCTCTACAGGAGCTCCGGTCTTGTCCTTGTTTTAATGTGGGAAGGTTGGTGCTAGCCTCAACAAGGGATCTGGTTCCATTATTTGAATGGTATCCTCTTTACCTCGAGCAAACGTAACAAAATTTCATTCGCTATTTATAAACATCTCTAAATAATTTTGTGTTTATCAAGTCTCTATGTGTATGACACGCAGTGTTTGGAATTTTTTCACTGACAAATGAGGGTTTGTGTGGTAAATACTTCGTGAAGGTCAATGTGTGTGACGTCAGCGTTGTGGTAACCACAACAAATGCATGACATTTTGACGAAATGCCGACTTTGTGTATTTGCGGTAGTTAAAAAACTCGGGTTAGAATTTTTTGCCTCTTTGGTTGATTTTAAGCAACAAATTTGTTTTTGCAGTGTCAAAGGTAGCCTTACCCTTAGGATATCCGCTTTACTAGACATCGGTAAGGATTAGCTAAATAAAAACATTTAAAATCTACGTTAGATTAGTCAACAAGACATGAATATTGCAACTTTAACTCTTTTCCCTACAAAAACCTTTTAACATTTTTTTTGAATCACACCACTCGTCTACACAGCAAAAACTACTTTGGTTTTTTGGTTAATCATTACACCAAAACGGGAAAGTGGCAGCATATACATTTGTGGTGTGAACTTTCGTCTAACTGTCACCACACACACTGTTGACTTGTAAGGAGTTTGGAAATATCTGAATTATTGTTATTCTGCTGCTTAAAATCTGGCAGCCTCTTCACTAGAAGCTGGCACCTAGTTAATGCATCTGTCCAGATGTAAAATTAGCTACAGTTCTGGCGGGTTTATTCTAGCAATATGGTTATTACACTATCCGAGAAAGTATTATACACCTTTAAAAAGTGCAAAATTAAACCAATTTCGTTGTATCAGTGTTGTAATTAGAGGCACCTTAATCGGATTTCGTTTTGTTTAAAAAAAAATGTCAATGACAACATGTGTAAATGCATCTTTTATAATGATTTTAAATAATGTCTAAGTCAAGAAAATGGTGGTTTTGGATGGATGCAGTCTGCATTGCATAAATCAATTGGGCAATTGATTTTGTTGGCTGTATTTGTGGCTTGTCCCATTGGCCTCCGCTTCCCTTGTGCAGCTTACTTGGATTTCAACAAGTTCCATGAAAAACGTAAGTACTTTTGAAAGGAAGTATTGACAAGAGAGTTTCTTTTAGTCTTTTTTTAAAACTGATGAAAACGTCGTGTTTGTTTTGTATGTTAGTTAAACGTCACTTTGAACGTAGGCTGCATAAACGAGCATCTTCTGTTTTTGTGGCTACCAACACAGAACCCATTTGTCAAAAGCAGTTGAAATAATTTCGTTCTGGGAATTTGTGATTTAAAGTTGTCAAGATTTTACATAGCTTACTAAACGGAACTGATGATAATGACTTAGTCATCATGATAGTGGTCATAGATCTGTGTAAACTTGCAGATATGCTGGATACACCAAGAACACAACAATGAATAGTCATCGAAGAATTGTCGAACCTGTTAATAAGCTCAGGGTTTACGGATGTTGCATTGTTAAGGTGGTGTACACCCTTGTTTAGTAATTAAATTATCGTCGGTGGTAAAACTAGATGGCTTGTAAGATTTCGAAAATAACCATAGTCAATGAGCGATGAACTCGTGTTACACAATCAAAATCTGACGTCCATGAAGTCATTTTAATAAAATCACATCGTTTTTTCACACAATTTGATCTACTTTCTAGAAGTTGAACGATTATCTGAGACACCTGCTGCCTACGCGTCTTTGAAGCAGATATGAAAGTATGCAAAAAGATAAATTGTTAAAATTTCATTCTGAGAATTCTTTACTTAAAGTCTTCAAGTTTCTTTCTGGGCTGTTAAACGGAGTAGAAGACAGTGATTTGAAAAAAGGCAGGATTGATCTTGGTTATAGTCACAAGACTGTGTCAACTCGAACAACACACACCAACGTTTAGTCATCTACAAATTGTTGAAACGGTTAAAAAGTTCAACGTCTGTTTCCAGCGTATATCAAAAGCGAACAGCTTTTAAAAGCAATAAAAACGTTTTTTAACAAACGAATTATCACCGGTGATGAAAACGAATGGTCTAAAGGAATAATCGTGACTGAAGCATGATGAAAAGGAGCAGTTGACAGGGAAGACCATCAATTTGTGAGGCTGCATCGATGTTTTACATTTGGCGCGACTTCCACGACGCCAAATGTACACTGAGACGCTTGAAGTCAGCACACGTATTCAAATCGGATACGCAAGTAAATGACATCCAGAATTGTTCGATATGCTAGGACAATGAAGCCTCCCGGTACATTTGGTAAATCATTAAAAATCAAATTTGCCTAGGGAATGATTTCTCCACCATAGTCGCCACCAGACTAATCTGTGAATAGCAAAACCTTTGCCAATTATTAGCATATGAAATTGCACATAGTTATGGTATTTGCTTCCAGGAACGAAATCTTTTAGGAGCATAGAGTCCCAGACATTGGTAAGAAAAATAACAAATTTTTCATTGCAATGTGGACACTGTCAGTTGCTTGATATTCATTTATAGAATTCTCACTGCATTTGCGTATCCTCAAGTGGATTCGCTAGGCAGAGCTGTCATTCACACGTTTGAGCATTTTTGAAAGCATTAGAGCTAAGTGACGGTAGCTTAGCGTCTTCAATTCCACTGAACCAATCATCATCAATTACTTTTACCTGAATACGAGGCAGAAGGGTGGTTGATACTAATTCCAAGTTGGTAAGATTCTCCAAAATAAATCTTTCAAATTTGTTAGGTGTTGACATTTGTTTTCATTCGCAAACGGTCTATACAATGAGTGGTTTTAGCAGGAGCAGTAACACTAAAGTGGGAGAAGATGGTGGGTTAAACCAAGATGCTGTCACACAGAATCGCTACACGAATCGTCGAAGTTCTCAGGCTGATTTTGCGGCAGGGGCTGTGTGGATTGCTTGCTCGGTGACGGCTGTTTAGCGGTGAGTAAGGCGGCCGCCTCGTACCTGCGTCGCTGACTCTCGGGGAGCTGGGGAGGAACGGGTTGTGGAATCAGTGGATCGGGTTCACCCATGCCCGGCAGCAGAGCACGGGGGCTTGGCGTGCAAGTGGGGTCGGGGCTGAGGGAGGGAAGCCATTGGCGGACCATGGCACGTTTGTGCTTGCTGTGCGCATCGTCGGCGTCGAGTGAGAGTGTGGAGGAGGCTAGTTTGGCGGCCGCCTTCGTGGCACCACTGTTAAGGATATCGATTGGCAGGGGGAAGATTATGGTTGAGTTCTTTTCCGCGGATATCGCACACAGGGTCTGGAGGTAGCGAAGCTGCAGAGCCAGTGGAGACGAGGAAATGACCTTGGCGGCTTCTTTTAGTGCGCTGGAAGCCTTGTGCTCGCCAGTAGCAGCAATCACCTAGGTGTGTAAGCAAAAGCTACAGGATTGGGGCTCTAGAGTAAATTTCATTCCATCTAAACCCAGCAGTTTACTTTTTTGTGCTATGCCGACACAATCTTGTGTTCGAGATAAAAATACATTCAACTTTGCAAACCTGATAATTAATTACAGATAGAATATTCCCGAATTTCTAACATGAAAACTATATCTAAACAATAAAAAATACCCTGTACAGTATTAGTGTTGGTTTAATAACCCCTATGTTGGCTTTTGTTACAATTGCATCCAAAAATTGGGGGATTAGCGATAAAATCTTGGCAGTGTGATTGACGTTGCGGCTCGTTCAACTTATCTGCCGATCACAAGCCAGCCACCACAGACATTTTCACACCTAACTGAGTTTTTAAAAGGTCCACATTTCGTTCTTATTGTCTGGCTGCATCTAGTAAATAAAAGTGTTTTTACCAAATGCATAAAATATTACATCGGTAAATTTAGTGGCAGTAAAAAAGTTTAATGTTTAAGGTTTAATGTTGATAAAAGTGTAGGTTAGAGTTTGGCCCTTAAAAGTCAAATGTTGCTTGCGCATTTTGAATAACAAAGTGTTGTGATTTTACGTTGTTTTTGTGCAATAAAGTTGAAGAATGCAAAACACAGAAAGTTAGGGATTCTTGGTAGCCAAAATTGGGAAAAAATTAAACAATGTTTATTCAAGAACAAATTGGATTTACAAAGGTAAATATTTATATTAGTTAGTTCCTCAATTGACGAATGCGTGGATCTTATAAATCCGCTTAAATAAACCTGTCTTTTCATTAATTGAACATTTTTTTCTTTAAATTGAAAAAGAAGGTTTCTAGCGGACACCAGTGATTATTCAGGATAGCAAAGTTTGTCGGTCACTGAAAGCGAAATTGCATATTTAATTCAAATTCAACTGGTACATTTATTAGCTGCAAAGGTGTTGTATAATTGCAAACATTAACAAACATTGATATTTACACAAAAAACAACTGTGTTTTATGTATCGTGATTAAAAACCCACCAGCAAGTAAGCGGAAATAGATTTCACAGTACCCATTAATTCAAATTGCAAGTAAATGTTGTAGGTTTTAGAAATAACGGATGCAAAAAAGTCCTCTTCTCAAAAAAATACAAAACCGTTCGTTATGAAAAAATCTGAAATCAATAATTTCAGCTAAATAAAAACCGGAAGTGAGCTCGAGTTAAACAAAGGGCCGTAAATTAATTTGAAGGTCAGCTAATGCATTAATGTGTCCACCTGGAAACACTGATTTGTAAAGTCTTTTAAAAACGGTAAAAAGTAGACGATAAGCTGGGTTTATGATTTGAATTTTTAATTTAAACTTAGAACAATTTATGTAACTTGCAGTTGACGGCCATTTCGCATTTTTAACATCTCAAAGCAAGCACGGGACAAGAATGTTGCATACCTTAGCCCGGGCTTCTCTTGTGGCCTCGGCTTCTGCTGCCATTGCGCGTTGAAGCGCGACCGGCAAACGCACGTCCTTGATTTCCACTCTCTCAACCTACCAAGAAAAAAAAAGATCTTTACTGAATGCTCCAATTCTCGTCGATTCTTTTTTGAGTGTAAATATTCACGGTAGAGTCAATGGTATGCACTTTAGCAAACAGTGCATCCGTACAAACAAGATTCTGTTTGTTTCGTCGCAGTAACTCCTCAAAAAGGCAACTTTTCAATAGCGAGTAAATCTTTTTGCTTCCATTTTGACAAGAAACAAATGCACTTTGTATTCGTAGGAAACTTAACGCGATGTTCGTTGTGCATTGTAAAGGCAATGTGACACTTTAACGAATTCTTCCAAATTCACGTAGCAAATATAAAGTGAACAATGCTTATTGAAATTGTCTACAACGAAGACGTTTTTGACAATAAATTGGACAATAGGGGGCTTATTAGCCTTTTTTATTCACCATTAATTAAGCGTTTTTTTACCAGATGTTGTGAGGCAGTGAATATCGAAGCACGATAACGAATTTGGCAAGTGTTCGTTGCATATGAAAATTCAATTAATGCCTACATTTGATACGTGTTTAAAAAAACCGTCTAGCTCACGACATCATAACAAAGTTGCAGTAAGAAATGCAAAGTTTTGTCTGGACTCTCACGACTATAAGCAGTGCGTGCAAGTTTAAGTTAACCAGATGACATAAAACCAAGAAATGACAGCTCAAGAAGGAGTAAGACTCTTGCTCGCTTTTTCTAGTGTGGAATTTTTTAAGCCACAGATATGGATTTTTCATGAATATTCGTGCTTTTTATGATTAAAAAATGCTTTAACTAATCATACCTTACGATTAATTTGCATAAATCGTTCACCACTAAATTATGCATAATAGGAACCCTGCAAGCCTGTCTAAGGTGTGTGCTTAGTCAGGTTTATTTAAAAAAACACATTTTGTAAAATCATTCCCCAAAAAATAGGGCTTTGTAAACTTGTCTGTGGAAAAAGGGTTTAATTTTGACGTGTATGTTTGGCCTACTGGGCAAAATATTCTACGGGCTTTGTGCTACACGAAAACTACAAAAACGCGAATTATCGTTAAAGAAATAGTTCTGGTCGAAAATGCTGTACTGGGAACTGAAGAATTTATACCTATGTATCTACTGGTCACTCTGATTGTAATGTTAATGAATACGCTTAATTCAGTAATAACAGACAAAACGGGAATAGAGTCGACAGGGGTTTAAAAAGTTTCCGATTGGTTAAATTCGCACAGACAAATTTACCACAAGTTCTCGGTTCTGGCGATGTCTCCACAACGACCAAGAGCGGATTTCGCTAGTACAAAACGCAAACACAGACAGGCTTTGTTGCAAATCACAATTTTTTTTAAATGCTTAATTAAAACAGTCGCTTTTTGGATTGGTTTGTATGATCAGTGCGTGCTTCGTAAATCACGGCATACGGGAATTTCTGGGATATGCAAAAACCATGCTGAATTCCACCACATAGCCTTGTTTTAGCATATTCAGTTTGTTAGGAATTTTTGAAACAGTTGTCGGGGAAAAGTAAATGAAAACACTTTTACAAAAATTGCCATGAGTGTGGTTTAGCATGTTTGATTCTCAGAGGCGTACACCACTTTTTGTAATTCAGGTGACACCAATTTCGTCCCAAGTTTTGTAGTCAAACAATCCGTGGTAACTGCGGACTCTACTAAAACTTTTGGATCACATTTCCAGTTCTTTGGCAATGAACTGAGAGATGTACTTCACAGCCGTTGTTTGCCAAAATTTAGAGTCTAAGTGTAAGCAGCTTAACTGGAAGATGAGTGAGATTTTCCGATACACACAAATTTGTTGTGTCATCATTTACTACCACGCCCGTTTTTGTTTGTACCGTTTTCTTCAAAAGGCTTACTTATTTCTGTACTTATATTTTTTAGAACTCTTATTTTTTTCTAAAAATTCCCTAGTTGGTTCTCTTAAGGTTAAACAAAAATAAGCCTTCAGACAGAGGACTCTGAAAATATCCAGCAAACAGCACTAGACAAACGCATGTAAAAGTTATTACAACACACTCGGACACAATCCGACCACCCTTTCGCAGCTAGACGCCATGTTTCCCTTTCGTTTACTTTTACGTCAGCAAATGTGAATGCACGCTTTACAGGCAAGTTGGGGGATCTAGAGGAAATTCACGAAGGATTTGTGAAAATTTAATTAAAACAACATCTTTCATAATTTTACCGAAGTTTTAAGTGATGAGGTGGCATTGACCGTAAATCTGCTTTGCAAAAAAGAGCAACCGACAGCAAGTATTACCCTTCTCAGCAGATTTACTTTTGTGGATTTAAATGACGGTCAATTTTAAGAACAACCGTGCATCTAAATTGACGCTTAAAAATCTACCTACAACAAAGGTAGTGGTTTTTCCGAAGCTGCACTTGGCAAATCAGAACACAGCAAAAATAATATTTTTTTGGTACAAACTCCTCAGATGTGTACAACTGGACTATTCACGAGCCGCAAACAATCTAAAATCAACTCAAGTGGTTAGTGGTTGAAAGCATTGTGCCAAAATTAATGTTATTACAAAGAAATTCTGCAACGTGCTCAATTAGAATGTTTTTTTTATAGTTTAATGGAATTGTGTGATCATTGCAGTTACGTCCTTTCGGTGTTTGACAGATATGACCTTTAGGTGGCAAAAAAAGCAAACGGAAACGAACTATTAATACTTTAATCCCAGATAAAAACAAGACCAATGCCAAAATATGTGAGACCTATGGTGTTGACTGCTTAACAGCAAAAGCAAACGGAATGCAATTGCTCTTGCAAAAACACTAGTAAAAACGGGCATGAGTTGAGGGTGAAAAAAGAAAAAAACCTCAAACATAAGACATTTAAGCGGCTCAAATGATTCTACTGCCGGTTTAGTGTGTGTATTTGAGCTTCATTAAAGATGATATTCCACTAACACAGGTGATTAATGTTTTAAAATTTAATGCTGCAGCGACTAGATAGAGATGGCCGAAATTGGCTGATTGTTTAGCAACCGTTTTTCGCAAAAAAATGCACGGCTTAACAAGTTTTCGTTAGGTCTTGGAAAGTTATCTGATCCTGGTTTGAAAGCAATGTTACAGCCTCACTGCTCCTTTTGCACCATCTAACTACTTATTATGTTGTAGTCTGTTATGCAAACATGTCGATTGAATATCGCATAAAAATCCATGTCAAGACCTAAACGTCAGCTGTTGTAGTAAAGCCGTACACCGTTTGTGTTCGTGTCTCGAGCTTAACTCGAATGGGAGATGAAAGAAAGTTTTTCGCTTCAAGTGAACGCATTACTAGCCAGCGAACGAAAGAGCATGGATGTCTCCAAATTTGCAAGGCTTGTACGGGGTCTGTGCTAAGAAAAACAAAGTTTTTGACATTTCTTGATTGATTATTTTCGTAGTGGAAGTGAACTGCCAAACCTTTTAACTGTTATGTTGTTGACTGCCTAAAAGAAGTGCTCTGAAAATTTCGTTTTTGAAGCTTAACACTCAAGGAAGTTGAACGTGTCCCACGCAGCACACGAAATTGTTTAAAACATATTCAGAATCCTGCGATATCCACATTTTGGTTCGGCATGATTTAAAAGGACTTCACCCACAAAATCAAAGTTTGCAATATCCATCTCAAAGGCAAGGAAATTGCTCGTTTTCTAAAAAGAATCCCCATAAAGAAAGGAACTTGAACTGTCTACATGAACGTTAGTCCAAAACCATCATAATCGAGGCCTGATAAACACAAATAACTCACTACGAAGACTGATATGCAGCAACGATAACAGTAGTGTCGTGTAATTTGAGCTGCAGCCAAGACAGCAAACCGTTGACTCAGACGCTTGCAGTTTCAGAAGTTGGCAAAGTAGCGATTAGAATTAGTCGATGGCTATGACACCATTTTCCTAGGCCTGTTGCTACGGTGAAATAATTTAATGTTCACACCTCTGAACATGTGTTATTGCGAAATTAGTTGGAAAGATGTAGCAACCCGCGGAGAAATCCCTACATTGCCGCCACATTTGCCGACTTGGTACACTAATTTTTCACCGTGGACCGCTCCCGTGAAAGCTGACATTTCATTTCGGAACAACTTTGTACCGAAGCCTGGCTTGACATCACATTTCCTAATTATGGGTGAAATTTTTTGGCTTCCTATTCGATTTACATTAATGAATTTAAGGATTGCAAGCTGCACATACTTAGTTCAATTTACGTCAAATTAAATTGCCGCCAGTTTCATGACCACCTGACATGGAATGCTCTCGGTGCTTTAAAACGATCTTTTAAATTAACCTGGAATTGCAAATTTTGCTGAACTCAACAATCAAGTGTTTTTAGACCACTTGCTTGTAAAGGGGCAAGCTGCGTTCTCGGTGCGACAACTTGTAACTGTTGCATTTTAGTAATAAGTCAAAAGTAACCACCCGCCATTATATTTACTTATTCTACTATAAAGTTGTGTCTCTGTTAACTGTGACTTGTGTCTTGTAACTTGAGCTGCAGCCAAGACAGCAAACCGTTGACTCAGACGCTTGCAGTTTCAGAAGTTGGCAAAGTAACGATTAGAACTAGCCGATGGCTAGGTCACCATTTTCACGAAAAAAATGAACTGTGTAAAAAACCTTTGGTAACTCTTGGAAGAATACTGGAACCAGGCTGCAAAGCGATGCCACAACAACGCTGCTCCAGGTGCACAATCAGACTGCTTAGTCATTTGAAGTATACAAAACTCGTTTAATGGTAAACCTTCCACGATTTATGATGAAGGCGACTTTAAAAAATACCGAGCTAACTTGTAAAG